AGGACCCCTCCCTAAACTCCCCCACCCATGGGTTGGGAATGGGGGGGGTTTCACCCCCATGTATGTGTGCGTCCCCTTTCCAGGCCTGGGGGGGAGTCAGCGATGAACAAGCTGCGGCAGAGCCTGCGTCGGAAGAAACCGGCCTACGTGCCGGAGGCGGCGCGGCCGCACCAGTGGCAAGCGGACGAGGAGGCCGTGCGGCGTGGCAAGTGCAGCTTCCCCGTGCGGGTGAGTGGGAGTGGGACCCCCCCCACGGCAGAACACGGTGTGAGGGGGTGCTTTTTGGGGGGCAGGGAGCAGCCCTACTGCCTCACTGTGTACCGGCCAGTGTGACGGTGTAAGGGGATGCAGGATGCTGCGGGATGCAGGATGCTCCAGGATCAGGGATGCTCCAGGGCAGGTATGCAGGATGCTCTGGGATGCTCCAAGGCAGGGATGTGGGATACTCTGGGATGCAGGATGCTCCAGGGTGGGTGAAGGATGCTCCGATGTGAGGGATGCTCCGGTGCAGGGGATACAGGATGCTCCGGGATGTTAGATACAGGATGTTCTAGCGCAGGAGATGCAGGATGCTCTGGGGCAGGAATACAGGATGCTCCGGTCTGAGAGATGTGGGATGCTGCGGGGCAGGGATATGGGATGCTCTGGGGGGAGCAGGGATCCAGGATACTCTAGGGCAGGGGATGCAGGATGCTCCAGTGTCGGGGATGCGGGATGTTCCAGTGTCAGGGATACAGGATGCTCCAGGACACCCCGGGGGGTGCGGGTGTCCCCGCGTGATGGGTGTCTCCCCCCCACGCAGTACCTGGGGCATGCGGAGGTGGACGAGTCGCGGGGAATGCACGTCTGCGAGGAGGCCGTGAAGAAGCTGAAGGCGGTGAGCGCTTCCCCGCGTGTGTACCCCCCAACGGGAAGGGATGGGGGGTCACTCCCGGGGCCTTCACCACTCCCCCTGACCCCTCCTACCCCTCGCAGAGTGGTCGCAAAGCCATCAAGTCGGTGCTGTGGGTGTCGGCGGACGGGCTCCGCGTGGTGGATGACAAGACCAAGGTGTGCGGGTGCCCAGGGCGTCCCCGGCCGGGGTGGAGGGGTCCTGGGTGACAACACCCCCCTGCCTCCTGTCCCTGCCCTGCCTCCAGGACCTTCTTGTTGACCAGACCATCGAGAAGGTCTCATTCTGCGCCCCCGACCGCAACTTTGACAAGGCCTTTTCCTATATTTGCCGGGACGGCACCACGCGGCGCTGGATCTGCCACTGCTTCCTGGCCCTTAAGGACTCTGTGAGTGCCGGGATGCTCTGGGAGATGGGAAGCTCTGGGAGACAGGATGCTCCAGGGTCAGGGAAACAGGATGCTCAGGGATACAGGATGCTCCAGGGTCGGGGATACGGGATGCGCAGGGATGGGGATACAGGATGCTCTGGGAGACAGGATGCTCCAGGGTCAGGGAAACAGGATGCTCAGGGATGGGGATACAGGATGCTCAGGGATACAGGATGCTCCAGGGTCAGGGATACAGGATGCTCAGGGATGGGGATACCGGATGCTCAGGGATACAGGATGTTCCAGGATCAGGGATACGGGATGCTCAGGGATGGGGATACCAGATGCTCAGGGATACAGGATGCTCCAGGGTC